CACACACACACACGCACACTCACACAGCCCATTAGGAGTGGCTGCTCCACGATGAGTGTTTTACAAAAAGCATAAGGACTGAAAAGAAACATAAACCACCCCCAGCCCATGGCTAGGGGAGGGGGCTTCAGGGAGCATGGCTCACACTGGAAATTCATCGAGCCTGCAGATTTGGGAGTGCAGAAGGTTTAGGGGATGGATGGGGAGCCAGACCCTTGCTCCCTGGCAGACACACAGACACCAGGGCTACACGTGTTTCTTAGGAGAGTGAATGAATGAACGGGGACCCCAGAGAAAGAGACAAACCAGCCAAGGTGAGAAAGATGGACAGAGAGACACCGACGGTGGGGAAAAGGGGTGGCACACACATCATGGCGTCGATGCACTCACAGAAGTCAAGGGCAAACTGCAGGGGGCAGGAAAGAGAAGAAAGGTACAGAGAGGTAGAAGGCTCAGAGGACACGCAGTCTACTAGGGACAGCATTTACCCAGGCCTGGCACGGAAGTGCTCAGTAAATCTACAGCCCACGGTACTTTTAGAAGCCCATGACAATGTTTTAATTTATTTTAAAATCAGAAGAAAAATAAATTTTTAGCTCAAAGGAAATGTTTTAATATATGATACTAATATATTGGGCTTTATACCAATATTGTCATAAAATATAATTTTCAATATTGTTTATGGAAGGCCAAGCTAACGAGGACCCACAAAAGTCATAACTGGGCCCTGGTTGGGTGCCCAGCCTGGGACTGGGTAACTCAAGGCCAAGTTTAGCACAGACCCTAATGCAGGGAGTGCCAAAGCCAAAGGAACCCAGGAAGAGGCAATCAGGCAGCCTTCCCAGAGGAGGTGGGATTTCCAGGCTGAGGCAGAAGAAGCAATGTGGGCAAAGCCTGCAGTCAGGGAGTCAGGGTGCCATGGGTAGCTGGAGCCAGCCAGGAAAGGCCTGGAATGGTGGATGAAGGAGATGGGGCTTCCTCCACCGGAGAAAAAGGATTGTGAGCAGGGCCAGAGGTGAGAGAGAAGATGAAATACCGTGATACAGTGTGGGTGAGCGATGGCTGAGCCTCCCAAGGCGTGTGGTCCAGTGTTAGGGACTGAATGGTGAGTGAGAGGTACAGGAGGTGAATTGAGTTTTGGGGGGCTGAGGATGAAGTGTCCAGGGGATGGTCACTAGGAAATGGCCCAGGAGGGAAGCCCTGGGGCCAAGGCTGGGGGGAGCATAGGGGCCAGGGTGGTTAATGAGCAAAAAATCACCCCAGAGGCCAAGTTCCAAAAGCCCCGGGGAAGGGGATAGGGATTGGCAACAAGTTCATGCACAGACACACACGCGCACAGATGCATGCACACCGAGAGGGAAATAAAGCTGCACGGAGGTGGATGTGGGAGGTAAAGACCAACCCACTGGCACTGAGATCCAGCCAAAGACACACAGACACATGGACACACACACACTCCACCCTGGGGACAGGGCAATCAAAGAAAGAGATGGACATTTAATGAGACCACAGCAAGGGGGGAGAGGGCTGGACAGAGGCAGATAGATGGACAGGCGGATGCACAGGCAGAGCTTGGCAGGGGACATAGGCCCAGAGTCCCATGAGCCACATGAGGGAAGCCCAGGTCTAGGAACTGGGTAGGAAGACCCCAGGGAGGGGAGGGCTGGGGAGAGCAAGAGCAGGTTGGATGACAGATGCACAGAGCTTCCATCTCCAGGCCCTTGGTACCCCTGCACCACCACCCTGAGTCTGCGCCCCTTTCCCTGGCTCTTCCAACTTTACCTCTATGTTTCTGTCTGTCTCAGTTTTTCTCTCTGCAAACCACAGCTTTTTGGAGCCCCCAAGTGAAAAATGGGGGGAAAAAAGACAGACATGAAAGAAAATGCAGGCAACAGACTGTGCATGCGTGCGTGTGTGCGTGTGTGTGTGTGTGTGTGTGTCCGCGCTGAACGCCCCTCAGCACAAGGTCTGGGGCAGAATTTTATGAGGAAGAAAGGAAGCAGATGAAAGGACCGGAGGGTGGAGAAAGAGACAGACGGTAACAGGGGCTGCAGCCCGGAAGGCAGAGGGGAGCGGGGACATGCACATGCCCCACGCGCGCACCCTGCACACCGCACACACAGCACGCTGCACCTCACACACACTGCATACCCCACACACACACACACACACACACGGCTCACACACATACAACACATACTGTACACGCCGCACGCCTTGGAAGCGCGGTGGTGGAAGGGAGCTCAACGCAACTGTAGAGAAAGGGAGGCAGGGAGGGGCCTGGGAAAGACAGACAGACCGGGCGAGAGGGCCTGACACAGATCCGAAGGCGAGCGTGTGTACTCACACATCCACACAGGCCCCCCTCCCCGGCAGGACTGGGCCCAGGATACATCTTCACTGCAAATTTTACATATGAATGTATATAAGAATAAACGGGCCAGCAGCCGAAAGCGAGAGCCAATAAATGTGGGCCAGAGGATGGAGAGACAGAAAGACAAGGAGACACAGAGGCCGGTGTGCAGAGAACAGGAGACAGGCCTGGACGGACACACGCCCAGAAACATGCCCCACCCTCTCTAGGCTAGAGGGACGAGGTAGGAAGCACAAACGATGGTCTTTTTTTGTACTTTTCTGTACCTTTCTTGCTCCGCTGTAAGAAACATATATTATTTTTTCATGGAGGAAAATCTTGTTTTTCTCAAAAAAAGAAAAAAATGCATGCAGAACAAGAGAAAAACCACTGGAAGCAGGAAAAGCAGGAGGAGGGTATGTGGGACTTCTCGGGTCTCCAATGCCCTGGAGCAGGCTGATAACCAGACAGGACCGCACAGAGAGGGGCGGGCAGAGGGGCCGTGAAGTGGTGGTCTCTGCAGAGTGGATGTCTCTCGCCTTTCCACGCTGTCTCTCGTGAAGAATTGAGCAAAAGCAAACTGAACAGAGGCCCAGAATGAGAGTCAAAACCACAGAAGGAGCCGGAGACAAGAGGTGGGTGAGACAAAGCAAGCTTTCTCGTCTTCCTCTCCTAACCAGACATCACCCACGTGGGCCAGATCCGGGTGCATCAGAGAGAATTTCCCCAATCCTTCCAGCTCTTATTCTGGAGGACGAACTGCATGAACCACTGTCACAACCCTATAAGTTCCAGGGGGTCGGGGAAAGCTCCGTGGCCTCTGAGATGTGTTTTGAAGGATGAATAGGAGTTTGCCAGATTGCAGAGGAAAGAAAGGGCATCGCATCCCCAAAGGGCATTAATACTGGGCAATGGCATGGAGGTGTGAGAGGGCCTGGGGAAGACTCAGAGGCATGGAGACATTCATTGATAAAGAAGAAAATCTGAGAGAGACAGAGACAGAGAGAGAGAGGGAGACAGAGAATAGAGAAATAGAGGCAGCAGCAAGGCACAGAGAAAAAGAGAAATTAACAACAGTGAGAAACAGAGAGACACGTACAGGAAGAGACAGAAAAATAGAAGCACACAGAGACACTGAAAGACCAAAAATTGGGGAGAAGGCAGGGTTGGGGCAGGGAATAGAAAGAAACACACTAAAAAGCCTGTCAAGACAGAGCTGGAGCCAGATAGACAAAGAGAGGGCAGGAGAGAACTAGAGAGGCACAAAGAAAGAACAGGAACGGAGGGAGACATGCAGAGAAATACGTGGCGAGTCAGCGGAGAGAAAGAGGGTGCGGGGGCCTCTCCAGGGGGCGCCTCGGGAACGCGCGGACCGGAGTGCGACCCCTCCGACCAATACCCCACAGGCTCAGGCTCAGGCTCAGGCTCAGGCTCAGGCTCCCTCCGACGCGCCGCAGCAGCGCGGGCGAGCGCTTTGTCCCCGCCGGGGCTGGGGCGCACCCCGCGCCGGCTCGCACACGTCCCTGCGCCCCTGGTGCTGTGTGTGCGCTCCGAGCCCACACGGATCCGCATGGACACACGCTGCCCCACGGTCGTCTACGGAACCCAGTTAAACACATCGGTGCCCATGGCCCAGGAGACGGTAGGTTCAGGCTCGAACGACCTGGATTGTGTCCGTGCAATACACACAAATCCATGCAATGCGACCAGAAAAAAAAAAAGACCCACTCACTTCATACCCTGTTAATACCCAGGTATACATACAACGCAGGAGCCCACAGGCTAGCGTATTACCTGGATAGTGTGTATAGACACACAGCCATGGGCAAACAGGCCCACACACACCCACATGAACACAAAGGCACACACATCCCTAGGCACACACTCCCAAAAGCAAACAGAAGACCCGAACCACAAACTCACATCCATGCTCCTTGAGAGATCCTGTTCATGCTCCCAACACATGCACACACCCATGGGTCTCAGGCTTGTGAAAATAATGCTGAACAGAGTAATATACCAATTTTGAAATTTTTTAATTAGTGTTATCATGGCCAGAGGTGATTCACGGATTGGTGTGTGATCTGATGTAAAATAAATTTCTTCATATAGACTGTTGCAAATGAACTAACTTCCCAGGTTGTGTTCATTGGTTGGTGGGTGGGGAGGAGGGAGAAGAGGGCGACGGGTCTTTGGATTTTTCTCCAAAGTGCCCAGGACTTATTGCTCCAGCCCCACCTCCCACCCAGCCCAGCACTCCTGGGAAACACGTGAGCACGTCCACAACTCTACACAGGCCTGACAGCCCCGCTCAGCACCGAGTGTCAACCACCACCATCCACCCAGAGCATCTGAGTCCTTCAATGCTCACACTTTGGGAGTTCTGGGCTTCACCTGGTGTATCTCAGACACAAGCAAGGCTTCTGCCACACGTACTCGCTCCCCAAATGCAGGTGCAAATGTGCATACACAGTCACTTTTCCAAGTGGCTGTCTTCAATCTGATCATGTCATGCTCGAGGGCCTGAAGCCCTCTGGCCAGTGCTGCCTGAACAAAGGTCCATCTGAAAGCAGTCTGGTCCTCAACCCCCCACCCTGTCACTCTCTAGCACACAGTAGATGCTCAATAAACCACTGGCAAAAACCACTGAGGTCTGTTTGTGTTTAATCAGACAATATGCAAAGTATTTACAACCAATTCTGGATCCCCCCACCCCCCAAGCCAGGGCCATGGAATGTGGGACCCCAGGCCCTGCCCAGAGCTGGGGGTCCCCTAGGCCTCTGCATAGTCATCTGAAATCTACAAAACACTGTTAAAAAAAAAAAAAAAAGACAGTATTAGGACACCTTATACAAAGGACCTTGGGCAGTTGGAAGGGGATTTGAGAGCACACTGTTGTGAGCGAGCCCAGATTTGACTGGGACAGACAGGAGAAGACTTGGGTAATAGACATGTATGGAAGGAGAAGTTGAAATTTCATAGGCAGGCACCACTTGGCCTCCTTCCCCGCTGGCAGGGCCTGGCTGGCTCAAGAATCCCTGGCAGCCGGAATGTTATTGCTATGATGGGGGGCTGTGAGTGAAATGTACAATGTGTCCGGGGAACAGAGCAAGGGGCATTTTTACATGTTAAATATGGACACACATGGAAAAACACACATGCACACACGCATACATACAAACAGGGGCCCTTGGAAAGATGCCCACAAACTGTCAGCCACCTCTTTTAAGAGGGGCACACTGAGGCCCAGGGAGATGCCACCACATACCCTAAGGCTGAACAGCAGACTTAGGGCCAAAACACAGTCTCCTGATGCCCTGGGCTGGGCTCACTATGTGATATCAGGCCACAGGGTCTGGACAGGAGTGGTGTAATTACAGAGGCCACAGCCACATATGGAGGCAGACACTGCAGCCCAGAAAGGAAGCAGGGGCCTCCCAAGGTCACACAGCCAGTCTTGATGCATGGCAGGGGACACCCGCATCCTCTCTCACCCCAGGCTAGGCACTCCTTTCTCTCTATATAAGGGGTGCCAACTTGGAGAGAACAGGGGCCAGGTGTTGAAATGACAGGACAAAGGGCAGAGGAGGACCTGGGGTTCCCTCCTGAGGCCAGGGCCTCCCAACTGCTTGGATCTTCTATTTCTCCTTGATTGCCTCCAGAGCCCGGGAGCTCACTCTTCTTCACGGCTGCCTAGCCTTGAAGGTCGACACCTACCACATTCTCCTTGAAGTCTGCCTCCCTATACCTACAGCTTCATCTCTCATTCCTAGCTCAGCCTCACATCCACCTCCACTCTCTCCCCTCCCAGCAGCCCCACTGAGCACGAAGTAGCAGCAGAGCTCTCTGCTATGTCTAACCCATCCTCAGGCCCTTGTCCCCTGGGCTGCCACAGTCTGTCCATGATGGCTCCGAGGACAATCTTGTTGGTTCCTGAGGAAGACAGGGAGCACCGTGTTCTTTTCCCACCTCAACCCCGAATTGCTCTGTGGCCTTGGGCAAGTCAGTTTCTCCATGGGTAATATGGGGACAAGGAATTGATGATCTCTAAGGGTCCTTCGGGTCTAAGAAGGGCAGGGTTTGAGGGGGGTGCCCACCCCACCCACCACAATCAAGTCAATCGAGGCCTTGGACTGCCAAGCCTGGGAGCCATGACAGAGAGTTCTGGACCCAGTGGCTTCCATCAACAGGTGTTTCAGAAATGGATGGCAAGGGGCAGGGTGGCAGGCAGGCCGAGGGCCCATCACTCCTCTTTGGAAAGGTTCTTTGGCCAGCTCTAGAGACAGACCTGGGTGGCGTGGAAGTAGGAAGGAGCCAATGCATGGAGTAGGTTGAGTCTGGGTAAAAAGAGCCAGCCTTCAGCCCCAGCCCTTCTTCCCAGTTCTTCCTGCCAAGACACACAGAGCTTCAAGAGGGGTACAGGGAGGAGGCATGTGGCTGGAGTGGGAGCTGGGACGCAGTCACCGTGCCAGCCTTAGACCCCGCCTCCTCAAGGCTGTCCCAGGCCCCAAGCCTTTCCACGCCTTGAAAGAGAGAGGGGCCTCGTCATGGGCAATTCAGCCCCGCAGAGAGGATCAACGGCAGGCAGGCAGAGGGAGGCAAGACCCCACTTCCGGGGCCACCCAGCCCCAGATCCAAGCCGAGAAGCCAGTCTGGCCCTGTAGCCTGCTCCCTATAGGTTCTCTCCAGGCTGATACTGGGGCTCGGTGGATGTGAAATAGTCCTCCAGAAAGGCCTGTAGGTACTCAAAGGTGGGCCGTTCCTCTGGCTCCTTCCGCCAGCACTGGCACATGAGGTCGTGCAGGGACTCAGGACACTCAGGCGGGCAGGGCATCCGGTAGCCCCGCTCCACCTGATCCAGCACCTCTCGGTTTACCATCCCTGTGGGCAGAGAGAGGAGTGAGGCTGACTCTGGGGAAGAAAGTGGGGTGGGCAAAAGTGGATGTGGACAACAAAGAGGGCTTCCCACCTAGGATAGGGTGGGTGTGACCACGGATAAAACCCCTCCCCAAAGGTGGAAGCCCTGCCCGGAGAGAGAACCTAAGATCAGACATTACACCTGTTTGTTATAGAGATGGGGAAACCGAGTCCTAGGAGAGGGCGTAGCTTGTCCAAGGTACCAGGGCAGAGAGGTTCAGGGACCAAAGATAGGTAATAAGAACCTTCTTACCAGGGTAGGGCACCCGTCCCTTTGTTGTAAGCTCTGTCAGCAGGATCCCAAAGGACCACACGTCCGACTTGATGGTGAACCGGCCATAGAGGGCAGCTTCTGGAGCTGTCCACTTGATGGGGAATTTGGCACCTGCAGGCATGAGAAAGGTCAGCGGACACTCAGCGGAATGTCACGACCTCTCTGCCAGATAGGCACCATTCTCATCCCCACTTGATAGATAAGGTTACTGAGGCTCAGAGAAGGGGTATGACTTCCCAAGGTCATACGGCACCTGCCCGGTCCCTGCCCACCTTGCCGGGCTGTGTACTCATTGTCTTCGATGAGCCGAGCCAGCCCGAAGTCAGCTACTTTGCACACAAGGTTCTCTCCAACCAGGATGTTGGCAGCTCGGAGGTCCCGGTGGACGTAGTTCATCCGCTCCACATATGCCATGCCTGAGGCAATCTGCAGGCGAAACCCAGGATCCTGGCTCAGGGGCCACCCCATGCCCTTCCTAGGTCACAGGGCACATGCCCAGGACTGGGGTCATCCCCAGGATGGAGAGCCAAACACCCTGCCCTTCCCAGTTCTTCAAGCAAGTGAAGTCAGTTTACAATAAACACTGCTGCAACAAAAAGCAGGACCAGCGCTCAGCAGGAGGGAACACAAGACAAAGAGCAAAGGGCAAAGGGAAAGCACAAGACAAGATGCAGCCAGGGAAGTGGGGTGACCCTGAAAAAGAGGCCCCAGATATAGATGAGTGCCAGGTCCTGCCTGCTGTCCCAAGTCCCCTCTCTGAGCCTCAGTTTTCTTATCCATCAAGTGGAATAATAGCCGTCCTTACCTCCTCAGATCGTAATATGTATTAGGTGAAAAAATGGTTGTCACGTACTGTCTACAGCAAGTACTAATACATGTTTGTTGAATGACCGAATGACCTTCACAGAGAAGAAAACTGAGGCCTGAGGTCCCACAGCAAGTCAATGACTCCTGATGACCAGGTAAGGGTTCCTTCCTCTGCCTAAAACCACCACTCACAGCACCTATAAGTGGTCCCAGTAATATAAGTGGCAAGATCAGTGAAAGTGGGGGCAACCAAGGCAAGCTTCCTGGAGGGAGCACTCAAGACAGAACGAGCTGAGGTAGGTGGGTCTGAGTGCTTCTGAATGCTCAAAGCTAAGGGCATAGAAGGGGCTGACTCACCTGAGCAGCCATGTCCACCAGCTGAGGCAGCCGCAGGTACTTGCCTGTCTCCCCCTTGAGAAAGTCCAGCAAACTCCCTGGGCAAAGAGAAAGCAGCTCTAGCCCCCACCCTGTCCTCCTGAGCCAGGAAGCAGTGATTACCACATCCTGTCCACCTGGGCGGGCTGGCCTCACTTTAACCGGCTCTGCAGATTTTATGTAAACCCATCTCTGAATAAAGTCTCACTCAGCATTTGTCACTCAAAAAGGAAGTAGGATGGGAAATAAATGAATGCCCACTTCCGGGTAAACAGAAACTATGACCCATCCATGTAGTGGAATACTATTCAGCAATAAAAAGGGAACAAAGTACTGACACACGTGACAAGAAAGAACCTCGGATATAAAAGATGACATGAATGAAGTTGTAGAATAGACCCATCTAGGAGTGCACATCGGTGGCTGCCTAGGTTTGGGACTGGAGGGTCATCAAAAGGGGACAGGGCAGCTTTCTGGGGTGATGCAGATCTTTAATATTTGGATTGTAGTACGGGGCACACAGACATTTGTTAAAATTCATTGAACTGGACACTTAAAATGGGTGTATTTTATCATATATAAATTATGCCTCCAATAAGTAGAATTCTGAAAAATTAGTTTTAAAATTAAATAAAGGTCAAGCCAGGGACTTGATGTTGCCCTGCCCAGAGGGTTGGGGGGATTTTCTTTCAGCCCTAAAATGGCAAATGGCTTTAGAAAACCAGCAAACTGGGGGAGACATGATGCATTCTGGGAAACTGTTAAAAACAAAATGAAACAAGAAAGGCACCCTCTGGTTCAACTTTCCATCGACATGAAAAGTTGCCTCTATCTCATTCCACCTTTAAAGAGGTATGTTCCAGATTGAAGGGCCGTGAGGCACACCCCCTGTGCCCCGCGGCGAGCACCCTGACTCAGAGGGACCTCACCCTTGCTCATGTATTCCGTGACGATGTAGATGGGCTCCTCAGACACCACCGCATACAGCTGCACCAGCTTCTCGTGCCTGAGTTTCTTCATCACCTGGGCCTCCTGCAGGAAGGCCTCTGGAGACATCGTGCCCGGCTTCAGGGTTTTGATGGCCACCCTGGTGGTGCCATTCCAGGTCCCTGTGTGGGGAGGGATGCCAGCTGCCTCAGTGGAGGCCCCCCATTCCCATCCCACAGGGACCCAGGATCCACCTGGGTACCAATTTCAGCTCTGGCCTCCCTGGCCATGTCATAAGCCCAGCCAAGGCCCAGGCCCTTTCTGAGCCTCAGAGTTCCCACCTGTAAAATGGGGACAATGACAGGATGCTCCTTACAGGGCTGTTACAAGGATTAAATGAGTCTCTGGTACACGCTCAAGAAATAGTAGCTATTGTTAGGACTATGATTATTAGAAATGTCCCCAAAAGCAGCACATTCGCCTGGGATGGGAGACCATGGTTACAACTCATCTTCCTTCTGGTGCCTCAGGTGCTGGCAAATGAATGGGACCCAGGGCAAGGTGAAGCGGTCTCAGAACAGGCCACCCAAATAAGAGACTGTCTCGAACCACACTCCCCAAAAAGTAAGGCATCACACTAAGTACAATGGCTTGGAGGCCAAATTGGCTGGTTTGACTCCGATCTCTGCCTCCTGCCGGCAGTGAGACCGTGAGTGGGTCAGTTCCCCTCTCCGAGCCTCCGTCTTTTTGTCTGAAAAATGGCAATGCGATAGTGTCTCCCTGTGGGGCTGTCTGAGCGTTAAATGAGATTTTAGCCGCTGGGCCAGACCCTCTGTGAAAGCACAATAAATAAGAGTCGCAGCTATCACTTTACGATTCTCCGGTTTTTTGTGGAGCCTTGGGAGAAGCTGTGTTCTAGACCGGTGTGTTTAATCTGAGTTCTTGTCACTGCTGGGCTGAAGCTTCTCTGGTAAGTGGCCTGGGGCCCACTCCTCCCAGTCTCTGGGCCTCCATCTAAGGGTGGGGGCTCAGGCCTGTTTCTGTGGCCCTTCTGGAACAGCCCACCTGGGGATCTGTACCTGGCACCTCACAAGTCTACCTGGAGCACTGCGGAAGAAGTGAGAACCTCCCCCACTAACACCATCGCACGCCTAAGCAGGTATGAGTCTTAGAGCCACCAGAATGGCTGACGCCGTGGACTTATTCAGGTTTTGCTCACATCCTCATTTTGTGTCTGTGCCTAGAAGCCAGCTTCTCGACCCGCTCCCCCTCTCCCTAGCTCAAAGCCAACACCGCCCCTTTCCTGACTTGGCCTGACCTCCGGCCTCCAGGCCTTTGCCCCTGCAGTGCCTTCCACCCAGGAACCCCCTCTGCACAGCTCCATCATCTCTTCCTCTGAAGGGAGGAAAGTGGAAACAGTGATGCCAAGTGCATATTGTGGCTCCGATGAAAACCTTGAAGACAGCACACCATGATCCTTCCGCTGAAGCCACAAGCTTAAAACCGTCATGCCTACCTCACCCCAACATCCATGATTCCTCTGTGTCAGCAGAAACCAGTCAGCGGACGGGGGCCTGAGTTTCATCAGCGCTGCGTGGTATTTGTTTTCAAGGAAGGTTTTGCTGTTTCTCCGGAGTTACACAGGAGACTGTTAACGGCCCAGAACATGCCAGACCTATACTTCCCAGTGCTCCCTCCACGAGCTGGGGCTGCTCTTCCCAGGGCTAAGAGGTAATGTGGGGATGCACACTGGCCCAGTGTTCTCACAACTCCACAGTGGGTCCTGTTATCACCGGCCCCATTTTACAGTTGGCAAAATCGAGGCTCAGAGTGAAGCCTCCTAGCCAAGACCACCGGGGCAAGTCACGAGGAATTGCAATGCCCAGCCCTGAGCAGTCCTTGGTAAACAGGTGCCATGGTCTGCAGAGGCGGGGGCGGGGGGGGCGCACCCCATCTTTGTGCCAGCCGCCACTAGGGAAGCTTCGTATTTAGAAAGGCCCACTGTTCAGCAGAGGCAACGAAGTCTCAGGGAGATAAAGGGAAGGGACACATAGGGGGCCTTGAGCTGCCAGACAGGATGGACATCTGTCTGGTTCTCAGGTGGGGACACCGAAGTGCCCCCAAGTGGACCGTGGTCTCCTCTGAGGGGGCAGGGGAGAGGCCTTACCCATCCACACCTCTCCAAAGCAGCCCTGGCCCAGCTTGACCTCCAGCCGCAGTGACTCCCGGGGGATCTCCCAGGCATCCTTGGCCAGGCCCTGAGTCTGTGGCTTGGATGTGGGGCACACAGTGGTGAGGCGGTGGCACAGGCCATCAGCATGTTCTAAAGATGGAAGTAGGGAGGTGGAGTTCAGGCCGGGGTTCCGCCCTGGGACCTCCCTCTCCCACACAGTGTGTGTATACAGACCTACACGATGCATGCACACAGGCTTCAGGGACACGCAGGACGCCCTTGAGGCCAGGCGTCCACACCTGTGTGTACACACTTTCACCCCACACAGGTCCTCACTGCCTCATGCATCCGCTCATTCATCCATTCAATCATCAGACTTTAAGGGGCGACCAGTTAGATGGGTGCCAGGGACCCAGTGGGGGACAAGTCCAGTGGAACCCTGGCTTCAGGGAGCTCACAGTCCAGGGGGAGCCCAACTTCCCTTAATCAACTCCCAGGACCCTGTGTGTGATAGAGGGGAGCTGTGCATGTAACAGCAGGGAGGCTGGTGCACTCTTGGAAGGCTTCCCAGAGGAATTAGTACTTGGGCTTAGATCTGCAGCCGTGGGTGTGGTCAACTAGGGAACGGCACTCCACACAGAGGGCACAGTGGCTCAGGCCTGTGCAAAGGCCCTTAGTTAGGGAAGAACAGCTGCTGAGTTAGAGGAGTTGAAAGGAGGCCAGCGGGGGCTTCAGGGAAATGAATAGGGAAAAGGTAGCCCCAGGTTTAGACTACCCACGGCCATGCTTACTTGGACTACCTAAGAATGGATTTAGACTACCCAAGAGACCACACTGGGGTCTTTATCCTAAGATTCCAAGATAGTCCCTGGAGGGCTTTGATTTGGGGAAACAGGGTTCTGAAGGAACAGCTGTGGTGGCCAAGGGGACAGAGAGAAGTGGCACATCCTGGAGCGAGTCAGGAGGCTCGCCTGACAGAGGAAGAGGAGGTGTGGAGTGGAGAACAGCTGGCACTCTCAGAATAGGCCACACCTGCACACAGAGGCCACGACTACAAGCCACAGCCACACGGCATACACAGAGACCCACCCACAGGGGTTCACACAGGCCCATGACACTTCAGTCCACCAGGTAGCCCTGGACATCCAGATGGAGCAGTCACATTATTGCACACATGGCCTGCACATGTGAGCTCACTGCCTGCTGCTGGCTCGCTCTTTCTCCCTCTTTCCCTTTTCGAGCTGGCCACCCTCTCCTCCTCTCCCAGTAACCGGTTCAGACCGGTCCTAGGGCTGCAGAGATAACCGACACCAGACTGGGCCCCCTCCCTTCCCTGCTCACTCCTCCAGGCAGCCCCACCCCCCACCAGCCAGCTGCAGAGGAGGAGAAAGAGGAGGGAGCCAGCGAGGGAAGAGGAATGAGGGGAAACAGGGAAGAGAGCACAGGAAGGGAAGAGGGAAGAGATGGGGAGGGAGGAGTGGAAAAGGCGGAGGGAAAGCGGGGGAAGGAAGAAGGGGCAGGGGAAGTAAAGGGAGAGAAGAGCGGGAGCAGCACGCCCTCAGGATATAACAGAAGCCCCAGCCCTCGCTGCCCCCAAAGCCCCCTCCTCGGGGTCCGCAGCTGGGCTGAGATAACTCCCCGCCACACGCCCTCATAGGGCCTAGCCCCAGGCCCAGGCAACCTGCTCTCCCCTGGCCCCAGCTGCCCAGCCCCTGGAGGCCTGCACCAGGGCAGAGAAGGGGCACTCACTGGAGTAGTAGGCTACGAGCTGCTGCAGACTGTTGAACTGGGTGCGAGAGGTGATGTAGAAGCCGCCACTGTCCAGCTTGCGGATCTTGTAGTGCTTCACGTTGAGGCCCTTGGCATTGTCGAAGTCAGACACTGAGAGGCAGTAGGCACCTGCAGGGCAGGGCCAGAGAGGAGCCATGACCACCATGCCTGTCGCCCCCACAGGCCATGGCACTAAGTGCAGTTCTGTGCCTATCCCACACAGAATGGAAGAGTGAGGCCAGGTCAGCAAACCCCTGGCCCAGGGCAGAGCCGGGTCTGGTCCAACCTGTCTCTGAGCACTCAGCTCTGGGGCAACCGCTGAGACAGGGCCAAGTGAGCAAAGCGACACCTGAACAGAAAGCCTCGCCATGCATCCTTGGCTCTGGCAAGACCTCTGAAGCCTGGGTGTACATCCCACCTGTGCAACCTGGACAAGTTGCTCACCTTCTCTAGGCTTCAGTTTCCTCCTCTGTACAATGGGGCTACTCCCAGGGCGGCTGGGAAGATTCAATGAGACCACATATAAGAGAGCCTAGCACACAGGAGGTGCTTAATAAATGTTTGCTGGGAGCGTAGGAATGGCCTCAAGTGGCTGTGTGTCCCCGGACTAACAGCTTTCCCTCTCTGGATCTGCCCATGAGAGCACTATCTGTGCCCCGCCACTTCCGAAAGACTCCAGGCTCGGGCAGGAGCTGGTGGTTGGCTGAGGCTGTGGCAGTTGTGGGCAGGAGATCATGTGTGGGGCGTGGCCTGAAGACTGCCAAGGCTCAGCTGTGCCAGCCTTAATGGGCCCCTCCCTGTTTTCCTCAAGCCTGGAAAAGCTTTGGGCTGGAAAAGCTTCCTTCTTCCCACCAGGCCTGGCTAGGAGCCCCTGTTAACCTGAGCTCAAGAGATGCCTGGAGCAGCATCAGGGAACAAAGCTGAGCCCCAGAGGCAGGGGCAGTGGGAGCAAAGGCTCCAGCGGCCAGAGAAAGCCCTTCTTGGGAAGTAGCATACAGGCATCTAGTATACGTGCTAGAAGCCTACTGACATTCGGACCAGTCCTCTGGTAGGAGTTAAGATCCTGTGTAAAGAAAAGGAGGCCCAGAGAGGGAAAGCAGCTAGCCTCAGGGAACCCAGTAAGTCAGGCACAGAGCTGGGACTTGAACCAGTACCCGGGTCTCTAAAGCCTACGTGGGGCATCCTTGACTTGCTGCAGATGATCCAGGCCCTTTGCACTTAGAAGCCACAGGCCTGAGCCCAAAGCCAACCTCTGACCACATGTGCACACACGCAGGCATGCCTGGGCTCAGTGGCCTCATGCTAACACAGGCACATACTTCCCAGGCCCCAGGCATAAAGACAAACCCACCACAACTCACTCCCACGCAGCAACACACAGACGATTCCACCCCCACGTGCACACACATGCCCAGACCCACACATAGCGTGCACAGCCACACGACCGCTCATAAATGTACATGCGTGACATAGATGATCTGCTTTCCCATCTCCCGCTGAGCCCCAGGCCCACAGGAAGTGGCCCAGCTTTGTTGCCATGGTGATGGGGCCGCCTGCAGCCCACTTGCAGAGGGGCTGAAGGGAAAGTAAGCGGGTGATACGCATTCTCTGGTTGGGGGAAGGGACAGGAGAGGAACAGGGGCCAGGGCTGTCGGGGAAGGGCAGAGGCAAGTCCCAGAATCCTGTCCAGCCCCAAAGCCCCCTGAAGAAGGAGAAGAATAGGGGCCCATTGTATCAGCACCCACCCTGGGAACAAGCCTTTTGCTGTGTGACCCTCAGTCATCCTGACAGCTTATGTCCATTCCTCATCTGAAGAAACTGAGGCCAGGGAGACTAAGTGTCATTTTCTGCTGCACCTCTGGCCAACCCCAGATAACCCAGTGTTCCTCAAAAGCACCTCCCTGCCTTTATCCTATCATTTTCTCTACCGCTCTTACCGCTTCATTCCATATACCGAACTCCTATTCATTCTGCAACCCTCAGCTGAAGCAGCCCACAAAGACTGTTCCCGCTGGCCAGCGGGAGTGCTCCTACCTTTCGTGGTCTCGCTTTCTCGCACTAGGAAGGTCCCTCTCGGGTTCTCCGCGTTGAGCAGTAACCGCTCTGACTCCCGTCTGGTGATCTTGCCAAAGTACCACCTGGGGCAGGAGGGAAGAGGATGCTGTTGGTGGTCCAGGAACTATCCACAGTGCCTCTTCCTGGGATGCGGCTCCGGCCCTGGGTAGCCAGACCTCCCACTCTGCCCAAGGTAGAGGCTCTGAATCGGCAGCAATGGTGAGCAAGCAAAAGGCCAGAGTTGATACTCACTCCTCGGCTTGGATGGAATCAGAGGGCGCCACGTAGTTGCTGGGGATGTAGCCCGTCTGTCCGGTGCTGAGCGAGTGGGCAAGCCACCAGTCTCCCTCTCTGAGCAGGGGGAGGAGGAGGGAGCAAAAACAAAGGAAGCCATCAGCGGTGGGCCCTGGTTCCTGCAATCTTCAGGGGTGCTGTGCTGGGGGCTCCTGAGGCCAAGTGGAGCACAGGGAGCAGTGGGACCAGGCCACTTGCAGCCTGCCAGGTCAAGCTGGCCTGGAACTTTTCCTCTCCCTGGACTAGATGCCTCTTAGCCAAAGCTGACTCAGATAGGCTTGATCCAGGATTGTGGAAGGACGGACCTTGGTCAGCCTGAGGCTCAAATTCATAGGGGCAGAGTCCTAGGACAGGAAGTGATCTGCTGCCCTTCAGAGAGAACCAAGTCATCTCGAGATGCCAAGAGCTGCCTCAGGGATAAAGGAGGGAGCTCCTTGTCTCTGGGGAACAAGCAAGTTACAACAAGAGAGACGATTCCTGCCCAAGATGGATGTCAAATCAGATCTTTGAAGCCTCCCCAAGCCCTGAGATTTGGAAGCCCAATCCTGGGACCTGGTGAGACCTGAGTGGAGACAGGGGGTGGCCTTTTTTGGGGCTTGGTGACAATCCAGGTGCCAACCCTGCAAACTAGAGCAGTACTAGTCTTTGTTACAAATCACAGGTCACACCTAAAGGGCTCTTCAGCTAAAATTACAGGACTTCTCTTGCAGCCTTCCCATCTACAGGGGAAACTGAGGCCAGAGGGGGCTGTGACTTGCCCAAAATCACACAGCGAGTCATGTCAGAGGGGCTGAGCTGGCAGAGCCCCAATGCCCAGGGTCACTTCTATACTAACTGTCCCACAAGGAGAAGGAGATGGGGACCGGGGCAGAAGGAGCCCCCCACACTGCCGGGTCCCCTGGGCCTGTGTGGGAGTGGGGAGGGGGCAAAGTACCTTTGTAGCCATCTGAATGTGAACCAGGTCTGGCTGGAGCGGGGGTCCAGAGACACAGAGGAGAGAGGAGAAAGCGAGAGCCCAACAGGAAAGAAGAGGCAGAGATGGGGGTGGTGAGAGAGAGAGGCAGAAAGAGCGAGGAAGACGGGGAGAGCCAGGCGGTGCTGGGGACAGGGGACAAGGCGGGGCAGCCACAGAGGCCTGACATCCAAAGCAACCAAAGGGGACAGGGAGAGGATCCATGGGGAGTTGGGGGAGTGTGGCAATGGGAAGGGCTGCCTGGGAAGTAGGGTCCAACCCCCTCCCATTCCTCTTGTGTAGAGGGGAAGACTAGGGCCAGAAAAGCAACGTCCTCTGCTCAACGTCTGCCCAGGTTCCCCACCGCCAGATGAGAAGGAACCGTCCCCCACAGGGGCCGCGAGACTTGAAAGCGTGCTGAGCTTCTCAGTCCAAGGCTGCCTTTGGACCTCACCATGACCCTGAGAAGATACACGGCAAGCAGGATGTGCTCCCCTCACCATTGCTGGGGCCCAGAGGGAGAAAGGCCCTTGCCCACAGTCACACAGTCTGGACTTGAACCTGAACCCTGTCTCCTGGTTCTTCTGAGCTTTCCTTGGACCCACATTCTTTAGCCCGTTTTGACTATAGAGACGTTGAAGCCAGGAGAGAGTGGGGCTCGGGGAGCTCTCCAAGGACCTGTCAGAGTACACCCAGACCCAGGGCTCAGCTGGGGAGCAGGGGACGGTGGGCGGCGAGGCTGAACCAGAGGGGAGGGCGTCCCTTCTGGACTGAGGCAAAGGCAGTGCGATGAGGGCTGTGCGGGCCGCCTCGGCTGTGCCACACTGACGCACACTCGGGCAGGGACGCAGCTCATGTGGGAGTCTGCAGGAAAGGAAGGGCCCAGAAATAAGGGGGCGAGGTCCACCTCAAAGAAAGAAGCCCTTGGATGCCCAGGACCTCCATCTACCTCCTGTTGTGCGCCCACTGGCGGCTGTCCACGCTGTCTGTCCCATTGACCTTCAAGGCCACCTGCGAGGAAGGAAGGCAGCCTCACCCCAGATTAGGGAACCAGGGCTCACAGAACCAGAGCTCATGTTGAGGGACCAGCCCAAGGACACACGGCACCCTGGCTAATATAACCCAGCACTTCCTTTGTAGAATTGGGGAAACTGAGGCGCGGAGAGGAACAGAGACTTGCCCGAAGCTATAAAGCAAGGACTCAAGTCACAGGGAACAACTGAGTCCAAAGCCTTCATTTCACCAAGGGGGAAACTAAGGCAAAGAGAAAGGCAAGGATTTGCCCAAAGCTATACAGCAAATCAAGGGCAGAGCAAGGGTGAGAACCAGGGCCCTCGAGTGCCCTCAGCCAGACACAACAAGCCTCCAGGACCCCTGCAGCCTCCCCAGGCCTTCAGGGGCTAGGATTCCCTTGGGGAGGAAGCAGCAGGCCTAGGGGTGGTGGACAGGCCTGAGATCTCCATCAGAGGTTACAAACAAAGCAGATTGACAAGGCCAGAGTCTGCAAGCTGGCCAGCCTCTGGGGAGCCCGCGGAGTGGAAGGCCAGCGGGAGCATGTGCCCAAAAGCCAGCCAGAAGCAAGGGGGTTCAGCACTACTGATGTTACCCAGACTTCAGCCAGTAGAGCCTCCAGCCCCGCAACATCAGCCCACGTGAGTCTGGGCTCCCAGGCCGGTTTGGAGGTCTTCGTTCCCTAGGGCAGGGATGGTGGTGCACTGCAATCTCACTAAAGGACCCGACGTCCAACTGTGGCCTGGGCCCAGCTTGAGAGGTGTCCGAGAGCAGAGTCAGTCACCCCAGACCCTATCTCAGCTCACCACTTGCAGGCCGTGTGACCATGGTACTGCCTCAGTTTCCCCATCTGTAGGATGGGGATGCTCACGCCTCCCTCTGAGGAATGTACAGTACCAGCACAGGGTCTGGCACATAGTAGGTGCTCAATGTGCATGAACTGTTAGTTATGATTTGGCTACAAAAGAAAAACAATGGAATCTGTATCTCAGTGGTACCCTTTCCCACTCTCCAAAGCAGCTCAGTGCCAGTCTCCAGTAAGGGTTTGCTGTGTGACCTTGGGCAAGTATCCTACCCCCTCTGAGTCTTAGCGTCCTCATCTATAAAAAGGAGATAATAGTCACAGAATCTCCCTTGCAGGCACAGTGTGTAAATCAGCATCAAGCTGACTCTGGGTAAGAATTACTGTGATTATTATCTGAGCCTCAGTTTGCCCACCTGTGAAATGGAGCTATCAAGCCCCATCTTCCTAAATCTATGGTCTGGGAGGCTCAAATCTGCCATAGGTGGCTGCCAAAGGCCTGGGGCTGCTCCCACAGGAGGGGCCCCATAGCTCTCCAGACCAGTCCAGCCAGGGACACCAACCCAAACCCAGCTGCAGAAGTAACAGCAGCGTTATCCTAGCAGGTTGAGCAGATTTTTTTGCATCTTCCCTAGGGCCTGGTCCTTATCAGGTGGGCAGGAAAAAGAAAGGGAATCACACATTTCCTGTCTGACCTGTCACTTTCTCACCAGTGGCCAAAGGAGAAAGCACTGGACCAGGAGTCCCTAGCTACAATCCCACCTGCTGTCCACTAGCTGTGTGACCTCGGGCTACTGACCCCACCTCTCTGAGCCTCAGGATCCTCTTTTTGGACCCTAATCTTTGTGCCAGCCAGACTGATATGTGGATCCGGGGTGTGGCAACTTTGGAACCTGGGAAGTAATGCCAGTTTGAGCACTTATATTTAACTCACTTGGGCTGCTGGGACCGTCAGAGAAGCATTCTGGGGATTGCAGGCAAGCCAGGGCAGCTGGGCATGGCCCAGGCAGGCAAGTTTCCAAGCCCTGAGGCCTGGGCACATGGTTAGTGGAGAGAGAGCAGGGTGAGGCCAAGGCAGGTCATGTAAGGAGGGCAGGAAGGTGTTCCCTGCCCCATGGTGGAGGGTAGAACTGAAGTGCCCAGGACAAGGCGGCAGAGGTCAGTGCCTGATGGAGGGCTCCCCCGCCACCCAAAGCTGCTGGAATCTGGATGGGAGGAAGGGGTAGCTCAGGGAGCGATCCGGAGTCAGACCCAGAGGAGCCCCCGTTCCTGGAGACTCAGACACCAGGGCCAGGGGCTTGGAGCAATGAGACCTCAGACCCCAGTGGGCTTCCTCAGACCCAGGCCCACACAGCACCCAGGATTCTAGGACTCCAGGCTATGTGGCATGAAGATCTGGGGAGTGGGGTCTCCAGGCCTGCTACCATGAGGACCCCGACCCAGCCAGCCCCGGCCAAACCCCAGCGACAGAGGCTCACCCTTAAGCTCTCACCTCCCCTGCCACCCAGTTTAGCCAGAGGTTAGACTCAGAAATTCCCACTTACAGGAGAGGGGTGTTGGGGTGGGGGACTGACTGGGGGATTAAGCAATAATGGTGGAAGGACAGGCAGGATGGTCCCTGAGGTGTGAGATCTGAACACCTCAAATTTGGGTGGCCCATCTTCCACTAAGCGCTCCCCTATTCCTATATCCCTCCTGTTCCTCTAATGCCAGCCCCCAACTCTAGTGCCACCTGACTTCCCAGGTAAAGGAGCAGCTGAGCCTTATGATGTGAGGACAGGCTCCCAATTCACCCCCACCTTCTAATCAGGTGCCTCACTGCCACCGAGGGCTTCCCATGGACGGGGCTGCAGCACTGCCAGCCCTCCTGGCAGCCCATCCCGGAAGGCCGGAAAAAGG